ATATCTGAAGGAAATGAAATCAGTATCTTGAAGCAATATCTGCACTCCCATGTTTATTGCAGCATTATTCACGGTATATGGAAACGAAATGAGTGTCCTTTGACAGATGAATAGATAAAGAAAATACAGTATACACACACATACACACACAGAGAAAATTATTCGGCCATGAGAAAGAAAGAAATTGTACCATTATGACAATATGCATGAACCTGGTGGACGTTACGCTAAATGAAATTAGCCAGACGGAAGAAGACAGAAACTGTAATTTCATTTTTATGTGGAATCTAAAAAATAAATAAATAAATAAGAACTCATAGAAACAGAGAGTAGAATGGTGGCTACCAGGAGCTGAAGGGTGGGGGAAATGGAAACAGGAAGATGCTGACCAAAGAAAAAGTTATAACGTGGATAAATTCTGGGGATCTAATGTATAGCATGGTGACTATAGTTTATAATACTGTATTGTACACTTGAAATTTGCTAAGAGAGTAGATATTAAGTGTTCTTACCACACACACACAAAAGTTAACTATGTGAGGTGATGATGTGTTAATTAACCTGATTGTTGTAACCATTTCACAGTGTATACATAACCAAACCATCACATCATACACGTTAAGTGTATACAATTTTATGTTTGTACCTCAATAAAGTTGTGTGTGTGTTGGAGGCAGGAGGGGGACTAACAAGCACAAAGAGAAAAGAGAATATGAAGAGTTTAAAGAACAGGAAACAAATGTAAAAGGCACTTAACCTTATACCAAATGAGAGAAATACAAATTAAAACTATAATGATATACCATATTTCACCTATCACATTAGCCAAAAGTTTAACAACACACTGAAGTTAGTGAGGAGTATGAGGACTATTACTTTGCGATGAGTAAAAATGAGCACAATCATTACCCATTATGCAGAGTACTTTGGCAGTATTTATCAAAATTGCAAATTCGCAAACTCTGACCTAGCAAAGCTATTTCTTGAAATTCACCTAATAATATACTCAGAGATGATTGAAATGATGTCTGATTAAGGAAATTTATTGTAGTATTGTTGGAAATAGCAAACTGATTAAAAGAGACTGGTTAAATAAATGTATGTGTGTGTGTGTGTATGTGTGTGTGTGTGTGTATATATATAATTACTATACAGCCACTAAAAAAGAATGAGCACTATATGTACTCATATTATTGATGAGTGAAAAAAAGCAATAGCAGAACTGTGGTTACTATTCCACTGTTGTATAAAAACAGGAGAGGGAAAATACACACATGCTTAGTATTCAGAGATACCTTCTGGGAAAGAAAAGTTGATAGCTCCATGACAGGGATAACATGGAAACCAATTTTTTACTATATACCCTTTTGCATCTTTTGAATTTGGTATCACAGGCCTGTATTAGCTATTCCAAAGTACATTATTTTTAAACATTTTGTTTTGACATAACTTCAGACCTACAGAAAAGATACAAGAATAGTACCTTCCCCTAGATTTCTCAAATATTTATATTTTACTACATTTGCTTTATCTTTTTCTCTTCATGCACACATACACACACACACACACACACACACACACACACACACACACTCTTAACTTTTTTTGGAAGCATTTGCAAATAAGTTGCAGACATGATGCCTTTTTCACTCCTAATTATTTCCTAAAACAAGGAGGTTCTCTTACCTATCCACAGAACAATGATTAAAATTGAGAAATTTGCATTGATAGAATACTATTATTTATTCTACAGATCCGATTCAAATCTCCCCCATTTTCCCGATAATACCCTTTATAGCAAAAGAAAACTGTGTCACACATTGCATTGAGTTGTACGTCCCTTAATCTGGAATGGTTTCTCTGTTTTTCTTGGATTCTTATAATGCTGACATTTTTGAAGAACGCAGGCTGATCATTTTGTAGAATATCCCTCCATCTGAGTTCATCTGATATTGCCTCAAGACTCTATTTAGGTTATGCCTTTTAGGCAGGAATATCACAGAAGTGATGTCGTGCCCTTCTCAGTGCATCATATTAGGAGGTACACAATGTCAACGTATCTCATGATGCAATGTTAACTTTATTGCTTGGTTAAGATGGTGTCTGCCAGGTTTCCTCACTGAGGTTTTTTTGTTTGTTTGTTTTTGTTTTTTTAACATTCCAAATAGTTTGTCTCTGAAAGTAGAATTATGGTTGATATTTCACCACTCCTCCTCGCTATAACTTAACAATTTTCTGTACTTTGCAAAGTCGTACAAGAAACAGACATTATCTTAACTGTAAGTAATGTTTAAATCTGATTAAAACAAATATGAGGGAGAGGAGCGGAAGTGGAAGTACAGCGATAGAAGCTGGCGTGCCGTGCTCTCTGTAACTCCACCCATTGGTACTTTCTGGAGCAGGCCTGATTATTTCCAATTTCTTGGGTGAGAGTAATTATTATATTGACACATTGGCCTCTCTCATTTGCTCCAATGGAAGGGTAGAGCAGCTCTGTAGCCTCTTGAATGCTCATTAGGTATATCTAAGGTAAGATTAGGTCACAAAGGGATGAACTACTACAGCATTAGGGGATTTAAAAATGTTTTTTAATGGCAATAAAGAAGATTAAATATGTTTTATATAATCAGGACTACTGTTTACCCAGGTACTTTTGGGGCAAATTAGATGAAGTTCCCTTTTCTACCTGGCAGAGGCAGACCCAGGACAGGGCACACAGATGGTGAATGGAATATGGGGCTGGCCGGATTTCAGCCACCACAGACCCCCTCAGCCAGGAACCCTAGTACAGTGCACAGCCCACATGGCCATACACAGCAGCCGTCTGAGTATATTTTCTTATGGGATTGTGGGAAGATAAATAAGTTATATTAAATGACCTTTGCAAACTGTGAAGTGCTGTATACATGCGAGTTACCCTTAGACCTGTCACAGAAAGGACCAGAAGGTCCAGGAGGGCTATCAACTTACTGATTCAAGTGACAACCTCCACATCAAAGGCCAACCACTAAGATTGTAAACAAAAATTTTTACAGTACAAAAACTAAAAAATTGAATTATAAGAAATGAATGAATCTCAAAAATAGGGTTTTAATACAAAAACTTTTTTGAATTTATTTTTTTTTTAAATTTTTAATTAACAAATGTTACCCCAACAAACTTACAGGTGTACATTATCATTTGACATCTGTATAGTCTATTGTGTGTTTACCACCCAAAGTCCAGTTTCCTTCAGCTACCATATATTTGATCCCCTTTGCCCACTTCACCCTCCCCTTAAACCCTATATTTGACCCCCTTTACTCCATCTACCTCCTCTCTCCTCTTCCACCCCACTAGTAACCACTATTCTATAGTCCTCTGGTAACCACTAGCCTATAGTCCATGTCCACGAGTCTCTGTTTGTTTGTCCTGCTCATTTGTTGCTTTTAGCTTTATATCCCACATATAAGTGATATCATGTGATTTTCAACTTTTCGTCTGGCTTATTTCACTTAGCATGATTAACTCGAGGTCCATCTATGTTGTCGCAAATGGCAGTATTTCATCTCTTCTTATGGCTGAGTAATATTCCATAATACAAAAACTTTTAATACAAACCAATATTCTATTAAGACTAAAGTCAGGACCTTGCCAACCCTATTGTCTCATAAAAAAAGTCAGGAAAGTCAATGTGTACTCTGGGGCGACTTGAATTATTCCTTTACTAAAGAACACTAGGGGGCACACGGTCTTTTCTGCTAATGTCTCAACTTCACTCCTTTCTTTAGCAGTAACAACAAGCAAGACATGGGGGCGGGGTTGGGGGCAGGCTTTTCTACAGAATAAAGTGAACTAGTATAGAAAAATGTGGCTATAAAAGTGAAGAAGCAGCAAATTACCACTAGATGGAGATCTACATTCAAGAAAGAAAAGTTGGTTAGCAGTAAAAAAATTGTTGTGTTTTCAAAGAAATAAAAAATATCTTGAGAAGTTTATGCCATTTCTTCATCTTGAAGCCACAGCAACAATAATCCCATAAAAATGATAAACTGACTAATGTTTTAAAGAGTTCCAGTCTCCTTCAAGGGACAGGAGAACTTAAAGACAGGGTACTGTCAAGTCCTCCTTTAATCCTCCCTTCTCTGTCATAATTCTGGATAAATTAATTTCCTCTATGAAAAGGGAGCATATGATTTTATGAGGCTTTGGGCAGCACTTAGTGTCATTGTTCTTTTAGGCAACTTGGTGTAGTGAAAAGACCAGAGACCTTGGTATCAGACCAACGGGAAGTCAAATTCTGGCTCTGCCCCTTGTTAGCTGGATGACATTTAAGTAATTAATTTTGTTAAGTCTGAGTTTACTCAGCTATGAGTTGTGAGAATTAAATGAAATGTATGTAACCTGCTTAGCCTAGTGTCTCTCATATATATGTTCAATAATTAGAGCCATTATTATTGTTTCTTGCTTATAATTTAATTCTGTTGTTCATAGTCACCTAAAGTTTAGTCTTTAGTGATTCTGGAGCAGGAGTCATTCAGATAAAAAATAAAAGCTAATTTGTTCCCCTTGTTGATGTCAGATCAAAAACCTAGGCTACCTGTGATATATTGTTCTTTTTGATGATTTTAAAAAAACATTTATCATGAAAAAGGAGTTATTAGATTGCCAGGCATATGTTTATCATATAAAACATGAAGAATAAAAGCACTGAAATTCCATTTTATAGACAAAGCAGAGGCATTTTTAAAAATGGAAACGATCCAGGATAAAATACCCAATATGCACACAGGTAGTGTTGATTATAATAGATGCTTTGATTTATAAATTGATTGTTATGTTAACGTAATATACAGATTATGTTATTTTAATGTATCTCAAATGTTGACTTTGAATGGTTAAAATGTTTTGAAGGAAACTAGAAAGCACTCTTCATATAAAGTTCACTAGAAAAGCAATTCACTAGATTTTTCATAAAAAAAATAAACAAAAAATACTTAGAAATTGATGTGCTGCTTGGACTCTGTTTGTGAGAGATGGGTTATATTGTCGGAAGGACACACACTCTAAGGGAAGTCCCCAAAATCCTGGTAACGATGAAAGAATTGTCTAAACTTTATTATTTTCTTTTCCCCTGGGGACCAATTAGATTCTCTGGTATCCAGATGATTCACGCCTTAAGCGGATTCCATAGACAATCAAACCCACAGCGCAGAGACTAAGCACGATGGCCCCAATCACAGGAAGCACAATTGTGTAGTCAGATGAACACTCGTCCACTAAGAGAAAAAACAAATACAATACAGCGGGTAAGGTTTGATGCAGACAGACCAGAAAGCAGGCTGGAGTAGGAAGAACAAGCACTTTGGAGTTAAACCTGGGCTTGACTTTTAATTCCACCACTCACTACGTGAATTTAGGAGTATTATTTAATCTTGAAATTTCTTTTTATAAAGTAAGCAATAACGATATAAGATTGGTAGAGTATTAAATAAGATAACCTTATATTCTTAGCAATTAATAGATATTTAATTAGGTTAGCTCTATTTTCTTCCAGGCATGCTCTTTGCAAGGTGGGATGTGCTTACATAAAGGAGATTGTATTACTATATTACACATGATCCCTTGAAAATATGTGATATTTATCCACTTTATAAAACATTTCTTGTCACACTTACAGTATTTCTTAATGCTTTTAGTGAGCTAAAATATTTTTTTAAAATAGACCTAATTATAAGAGCTTAAAAGTGGAAGTTTGTAAATCAGTCAAAACTCTCTCTTTTTAAATTCCATTCGAGAATACTTATTCAGTTCATTTAAAATATAATCAATCTTGACTGGAGAAAGATGGAAGGCCCTGGGATAAAGGGGAGCTTGGCCTAATATAAATAAATGGAGAATTATACCTATATCTTATTCACGTATAGATAAGAGGATATATCCATGAGGTCCTTGCATGAATCGATATTGAAATAAACCAAAGATCACCATTAACCCAATTCTCACCTGAGATCCAAGAAAAAAAAAACAAGAGGGGCCAGGGAAGAGGTAATGGTAACTAGAGACTCCAGGAAAAAAACAAAATCTGTACAAGACAGGAACTGTGCTTGTCATACAGTATTTGATTTGTCGGTGGACAATGTTTACACAACTATAATAATATATACCTTATTGATTTAATAATAAATAGAGATATGACCATAAAGAGGTAGTATAAGAGTATTAAATCTCTATCTGGCATAGCAAGAAGTTTAAAGCTGATAAATTAAGAAATAGTAAGATAAGATTTTTAATATTTTTTAAAAGAATTATGGGGATAGCTATTATAAGAAATTGTTAAAATTAGTTTTAAATGCTTTGTCTCTTAGAGAATGGACAGGAAAACATTGCTTTTCATAAGCCCTTTTATACTATATGATAATTTTCTTTATATTTATATTTTAAATAAATATACATTTATTAGATTAAAAAAGAACATTGACAAATTAAGAAATTAAAATGATTTGGAAAAAATACAAAAAAGTTAAAACAAAATGTAAAGCACATACCAATTGACCCAGCAATTCCACAACTCAGAATCTACGCTAAAGATATAGTAACATAATTACAAAAAGATATGTTAAAATAATCTCCATTTTATGAGAGCAAAATGGACAATCTAAATATCCATCAAAAATTTTAAATGGTATAATCATACAATAGAATATAAAGTAGCCATTAAAAAAGGATGTAGCAGATCTCAATTTTTTTTTTTCTGGGGTACACCATGCTCTTTCAATCTGTAACTTCAATTACTGATCTTAAGGAAAATCTCTTAAATTGTCAGATATATCTTTATTCTATTTTTGAGCACTCTACTTCAAAGGTACCAATTATCCTTATGTTGGATGGTCTGAATACCTTCCATACCTAGGAGCTTCCGTATAATGTTATAATCTTAATTTTTATCTGCATTAATTATCTCAGTCATTTTCTCTATGAAGATAATCCAGTTTTCAGCTCTACCTATTCTGACTCTTACTATTACTATTCATTATGCAAGCGTGTTGCTTTGATAATTTGTTTTCTTAGGAGTAAAATCTATTCACATCATTCTTTCATTATAACATCTCATCTATAAGCTCTGGTTACATGACATTCATATTCTTATTAAGTAATTTTCAGCATAAGAAAACTGTCAGGGATTTCTCCCTGTTCTTTGAGTTATGTTTTCTTTTTATTTTATCAAATATATTCCTTTCTAACCCTCCCTCCTTTATTTTAACTTAATTTTTTTAATTGTAGTAAAATGCACATAATATAAAATTTACCATTTTAACTGTTTTGAAGTGTACATTTCAGTGACATTAAGTATATTCTCGTTGTTGTGTAACCATCACCATCATCCATCTTCAGAACATTTTTCATCTTGCAAAACTAAAACTCGACACCCACGATTTAATCTTATATTATGTGTATTGTTGTCATGCTGCCGTAATTTTAAACAGTGGTCACATCTTTTGTTTTCATCTTGCTCATGCTACAGCACCTCGCCCAGATATTAAATTTCCTATGATATCATTTGAGTTGATTAAGGCCTTTCTTCTTATTATACTCGAGATCAGTTAGTGTTTTCTGCTGACCTACCTGTTTTGGATTCTACCTTCTTTTCTGTACCCTGGGAACTAGGTATAGCCTGGGGCTATCCTCTGGTTTGAGTTGGCTCCCCAGTTCACTTCCACTAGTCTCCCTCTCTGTGTTTACTCTGCCCAGTCTTCTCAGTAGCCATTTTTACTTCCCCTCGATTAGAAGAGATAAGCTGCTCTTTTTCTCTCCAGTTTTAGGAATGATAATAAACATTCACATGTTTTTTTCTGTCATCCTCTGGCTTCCTGGGGTAAGTGTGTTTAGGGAGGCAGGGTTAAATCAGCTGTGTCGCCCCTCTTCTTGCATCTGAATCTTGTTTCTCTTTTGTTCAACAGTTTAAATTTATTGCATTAGGTTATATCTCTTTGAGTGCTGCTGGTGATTTTTAAAAATCTTTCATTCCTCAGTCTAATTAGATAATGAGAAAGGAAAACTGTGAGAAAAGTTCGTCACTATTTTAACTCCAATTTTTCATTTCATATGTTTCTGTAATGCTTTAAAATTTAAAAAATAATCTACATTTATTATTTTGTTCCTTTTTTCTTAAAAATTAAGAATTAGTACTAAGGAATAAATTATAACCATTTTAAACAATTTATAGGGCAAAACCAAAAATTCAGGTATATGTTTATACACATTTGTTAATCTAAGTTTGTTTTGTATGCAATTCATATGTAATTCTTTAATCATATAATTGTGACTATCTAGAAACAATAAAAATTCTCAATAAAAATAAGCCTAGTTAAGTAAATTACTATATAGAGTTAGTAACATATTCATGATAGCAGCCATAATAATGATACTTTGCACCTTTAATAGCATGAAGCTTATGATGCACAGGTAAAAAGAATATCATATTGTAAGCTCTGTATGCCTCCAGTATGTAAAACAATATCCATGAGAGGAAAGTACATCCAAATTAACAATGGATAGGTTATCTCCAGGTGGGTATTAGTGAAGGTTTTTATTATCTCTAAGGGGATTTTTATGTCCTCTAAGGAGGATGCTGAGAGAGAGAGGTAAATTTAAGACAGCTTACTTACAGCAGAATGGAAACATTGTGTTGAAACCAGCTGGATGGGCAAGCAGCAGAACTCTTAGAGGCAAGTGGCAAGGGAGGCCAGAGAGATCAGAAAAGGCCCCTACGAGCTTTCCCAGAGTCGTTCACAGCAGCCTCCAGCTCCCACCCAGAAAGCGATGGGCAGGGTGCCTGCAGTAAGCCCCTTGTAGCCCGAAGAGACAGACTTGGAGGCAGCACAAGGCAGAACCCCAGGGGCAGAGGAGACTACTTGCAGACACTCAGTTTCTCTATAGTCTCAATCCCGGCACTTTCTCCCTGAAGAACTTCCCTGGACATTACTGCAAAACAGTGAGCAAAACTGTGAGACAATAAGGCAGTTCTGGGAATTTATTTATTAGTCATTCAAATGAAAACTTTGTTCTTTTTGGTTACCAGAATGTTAATTATAATTAATTTTAAAGATAATTGGCTTTGGGGGTAGGTAGGAAGATAATGAGTCTAAGCAGCAGCATCCATCATCCCAAAGAACTCATCGAAGTGGTAGGAAGGAAAATTAAACCTAAGTGAGCTGTCTTATCCCTCTCCTCTTGATTTTAATTCCATTTGTTTTTCCATCACTTGTGGGAGAAATTTCCACACACTAGAGGATGAACCTTCCTTTAGTCATTCTACAGGATGATGATTAGTGGCACAGTGTATAAACAACTCATACTCTTCGGTTTAGAACCTTCGAGTACACTTGAGGCAGAACTGGAAATGGGAGTCAACAAGGAGATGGAGAGAGATGGCACCTCTCCAAAGCTAAGCCCTCACTGTTAAACCTGGGTCACTCTGGGGAACACTGGGTCCTCACATCCCAGGTTTTCATCAACATCTCCTGTTGTAAGGAGGAAACAGGAATTTCCTAACACTCTAGACATCTTCAGGGATTCTTGAAGATCTCTTGAAGCTGCTATGTGCCCTCGCCACCCTCTCACCTCTGAGAAAGTGGAGAGAGCCAAAATAGCTCAAGGGAAAGCCAGTAGCTGTCCCAGATTAACAGTGGTTTTAGAGTTCTTTCCAACTTTCATCAATTTTCTGTTAAAAATAATGAATGGCACCTCTGGACAATGTAGAAAAACAGGAAACTTCCTGTTAGTAAAAGGAGTTAACATCCAGAAGTCCGTAACTCTCCTCTTTCTCTGAAATAAAAAATCCCAATTCTCCCATTTAAACAATCAATGTAATAGAAAACCACAAATAACATTTGGAGCTTGATTTTAATAGAATTTTTCTTCCAGATATCAATCACTCCCAATCGGGAATTTGAATTGTCCGGTTCAGTTTTTTTTTTTTTTTTTTTGGTAAATGTTTGCTAAAAAAGGAAAGTGAGTCACAATCAGGGTAGCTCTCCCTCATCTGCTTGCCATTTCTAATTGTTTTATCTTTTGCCTGCTCCCTTCCCACAATGGCCCAAATTAACAAGTTATAAGAATAGATTAGAATGAAAGAAAAATAGAGACAAAGCAGGAAAAAGTGTTAAGAAAGCAGACAACAATTGAAGGTAAAGAAACTGGAGAACTAACATTTATTGAGACTCTTATTGGCCAAGACTTTTGGTACTTGCCTTACATTTAAAAAAAATTAAATGTTGAGAAGTTTTCTACACTTTACCGATAATATATTACAAAAATATAGAATACGTCTTTTAAAAAAATAATAGTTTATAAGACTATCTGTAATTCAAATAAATCAAAATGTGGGCGAAATCCAGGAGTTTCAAATCACCTTAGAATCTATTTTGAAATGGACTGGGTTTTTAAAAACAATATTTTTTAAAAAGTGGGTATTGAGACTCTTAAAAATGTGTAAGAAAAATCTGTGCAGTATGAAAATGTCTTTCCCACAATTCTCCCTTTGGGTATTTGCTTTATCCTCACAAGCACCCTGCTCATGTCCCTGCCTCTTGTCCCTAATTCTCACAGCCAGCCCCCTGCATTATCAGGTGTGGAGAATGGAATTCAAATTCATTTGGCACAGCCTCTCCATGCCAACAGGAGAAAGTAGGTGGGAGCCACCTTTTAGCTAGCCTTCAGATGGCCCTTCGGTGAAAAGCTAGGTTTCCTAATCAGATTTGGAGGGTGGGACAGTCAACTAGAAAAGTCAAGTCCTTCACTTTAAGCTGAATATGAAGTCAGAATTCCCAAGGCCTTAACCTTACACATTCTGAAGAAGCTGGGGCTTTACATGCGTTCATATCCTCTACTGGGCCTCTTTCTGGTCACCAGGCATGCTGTTAGCAAAACGACAAGCAGTCCTGTGATACTCAGGCCCACGGCCACAGGGATTTCTCTCCTGTTTCTGTCACTGAAGCATTCATCCGCTGCAATTGAAGTCAGAGTAACAGGTGTTAGAGGCTAGCCACAATGCTGGGAAGCGATCGTGCCCCTGCCCGTCTTGGCTTCACAGAGAAGGAAACAGATGAAGAGAGGGAGCTGCTGGGCCTCCCACCTGCTGCCTCATACATGCAGATAGGTGCAAATGAGGAGAGACATGGTCAGTGCAATGATCTGGAACATGCAGCACTTGTGAAAGAGTGCATGAAAGTGCAGATACCCGGGGCTCGTGCTCAAGAAATTATGATTCAGTGGGTTGAAAGTGGGGCCCAGGTGATTCTAGGAAGCTGGGAAACATTGGTTTGATCGAGAGGGTCAGGATCAGAATTGTGTTTTGACTCCCAAGCCAGGTAAGGCCCGGAACCATGGTTCCCAACTCCAGAAACAGGGACCTGTGCCAAATCACGTGGTCAACATTTTCTATTCAAACTCTGCTTTTTAAGGGGCTGGTGGACAGCCAGGGACTCTTGGAACTGGAGAAACCTTTTGCAGACTTGGGGATTTTAGGGAGAAGGGGCTGAGAATGTAGAAGTCAGAGCTTATTGTTTGAGATGACTAGGCTGAGTGTTTACACTTACTGCATTCTTCTCCAATTCTTCCTGTCCCTGTTGAAATGTCACCTATTGTTCAGTACTGACCCCACCCGGCCAACGCTGTGCCTTCCTCTGCTCCCACAACCCTCTGTACATGTATCTTTTATAACACCATATTGTATGACAACTTTCATTTTTTTACTCGCTCCTTTTTTCCTCTTCTCTTACTCTCTGGAAGAAAATATTATTTACAGAATGGCATGCATCTTCATGTTTGAGGGTCTTTAGTGAAATCTGAAGCACGAAGACTGGGAATATGGAGTTGAGCTGAGGCAGTGACAGTAGAATAAACAAGAGGAATAATTTAGAGGTAGAATTGATAGGGTTTTGTGACTATTTGCATGAGAGGGTAAGGGAGGGAGAGGAAAAAATGAAAGGGCAGTTTTTCTACATCTCCCTTCGGACTATGCTAATAGAGACCAAGTGTGTGCTGCTAAAAGGTTTTGTTTCTCTCCTCTGCCACTAGGGTTTCTCAGACTTGCTCGCTTTCTGCTTCACAGTGGTTCTGACAAGGAGGAAGAGCAAAAGTGTACCTTATTTTTGAGATCACATGATTAATTACAGAGGTTTTTAAAACTTCATAATAAATTGTTAAGTTTCCCCAAATTGGAAGTTTTGAGACAAGATGACAAAGTGGGAGGCAACACCTACTAGTAAATTTTAAAATTTAATTTTAGCACTGTGGTGAAGGTCCCATGTTAAATTAGAGATTGTAAGACTTGGACAAAACCTATAGAAATCAGAGGATTCGACACAGGTAACACTTGAATCCTTCCTTTGCTAAATGCTTTGCTTTCCAGCAAATATATCAGAAGTTTTGTGCAGATGCATCTTCAACTTTCCAATGGAACTCAGAGATCAGATTCACATTACAGAAATTTAATTTACAGCTAAATTTCTAGCTAAACCTACTAATTATAGTTGAGAGGTATTCAGTATGTCATTGAGTTATTATTAGAAGTTTTAGAAACTGAAGTTCAATTTCTGGACATATATAGAAATCCTTGCAACACTGTTTTCCAAGCAGGGAAAGGGGCTTTTTTGGAAAGCCACCCTGATCTGCCCCTGGCCTTCTTTCTAGGACCTACTTCCCTCTGTGGCAGTTAAAACCCAAAGCAGAAGTTGCATGAAAACTGAAACTAACTGTGAGGAAACACTGGCCAGGTGGAACAGCTCGTAACTGAGAAGAGGGAACACACAGTGTATTTCTATATAGAATTATGGCATCTCTCTTTTCCCTCTGCAAGTGGCAAAGCATCTATTCTGATATCTTGAATTTTGGATATTACTAAGAGGATTTTTAAAGTGTTCTCCAAATATACCCGAGTTTACCAGTACTCAACAGCTTGTAAAGAGGAGGCTACAGATAGCATTTTCTGACTTGTAGATTGTGTGTGTGTGTGTGTGTGTGTGTGTGTGTGTGTGTGTGTGTGTTTAAGAGATTCAGAATATGTATTTTGGTCAAACAAAGAATGTATTATGCTGTAAGAGAGTGGTGGACGTGAGTGGGTGGGTTAAGCTGTCTGGTTTTGAGGTTGGTACTGACTCGTATAGAAATGGTAGGAGGGAGGGTTGGCTGGAGAAACTTGGCCCTAAGAGCTTCGTGAAATCATACTGTTCTAGGAAGCTCATGTGATTCTTGTCCCTTTGATGGCTTCAGACAAAAAATAACTTGAAACTACCTATAGGTATCTGAAGATTGTGTTTGTGACATGTTGGACCCTTAACTTACCATTTCCAAAGTGGTCATCTTCAAAATCAAAGGCTTGAAGTTGGACATTCATTGTTTTCAGTTGAAGGTGGGCTGACAGCTGGACGCTCTGTTCACTCACACACTTGAAGGAATGCCCAACCTCAGTCTCAAACATCACAGCACTTTTCATTCCTTGGTAAATTTTCTCTGAAAACATAAAGGTAAAACAGACATATAAGAATCTTGGCATAAATCTATTGAGTTCCAGCTATTGCAGGTGGCTCATGTGCAGTTAAATGGCCTTCCTTGAGATGTAGCTTTCTGGAGTTCTGCTTTCGCCTCATTGCCCTCGTGCTCTCTGGGGACTTTTTACGGTGCTCTGTTTGGAGTATGAGAGGGCAACCTCACCTACATTGGAATGTGATAACATTAAAATGAGAACTTGGGGGAATGTTTTCTTTGGTTATTTTTAAATTACTGGGGACAAGTTGGTACAAATTGTTGTTAGTGTTTAGGGACTACAGAAAAGTGTCCCCAAAATTTCAGAAATGAATCAGAGTAGTGACATGCAAAGTCATCCAGTGGAGCATATCCCCAGACTGACTAATATGGTAAAAGGAAGGACTATGCCCACCATTAGGAGGGGCTGTTGCATCCATCCATGGAAACATAGAGAAGGGAGAGCAGCCCGTCTCTGCTCATCTGAGTGCTGTCAGAGAGAGAAAGATCTGCTCAAAAACTGGCCCTGTTTTATAACATGTATACCCTTCTCAAGGAGGCATATGCTTCGAGGCAGATGGTTTTAAACATTTAATCATATAATTAACTCCATTTGCTCTAATTCCACACTACCAAGCACCAGCCCCCTTCTGATTAGCCTACTTACCTGGATTTGAGACGGTCAAATAGGCCCCCACTTCACTGATGTAATATGAGTTTTCATCCTGTAAAGCAGCAGAGTGTGTTAACCTGAGTAACCTCTGTTTTTATGTTTATGATCCTGGCTTACAAACTTTGTTCAGGTAGGATTCCAGCTATTAAATCCTTGATATGGTGGTTTGGGAGCCGTAATTGTGTTTGAAAATTTCTAAACAAACAAACAAATAAATAAATAAAAATAATGGGCTGGCCCCTGGCCCAAGATTTCTCTACTGCCTACTTGTTGTGAGAGCCTGAAATTCAAGTTCCATCTGTATAATTTGAATCCCTTTAGTTGGGCCAATTTTCCTCCTATTAAAATGCAAATACACTTTAGCAAAAAGAATAAAATAAAATAAAATACAAATTCATCTGGAAGGTGGAGGGGTTGGAGGAGCATACATTAAGCTTTTACTAGTAATTAATACCTTAGAGTAGGAATTCAAACTGAGACCACTTATCTATAAGGCTACCATGGGTAGACTTCATGAGCTCCTTATACTCTCTGGGAAAAATAGTGTATGCAAACTCTTGATTGCATTTCCCTGGGTAGAGTATCAGGCACTTTTAAATAGATTAATGGGTTCATGTCTCCAAAATGGTTAGATGGGGCCACAGTGAGTGATTCTGGGATGGTTTGCCCTGAGATCACCAGATCTTCTCTACCAGAGGCCTCCAGGTGGCTGTGCTCAGAAATATAAAAACAGTGATCCACATTTTACCCAGGGATTATCCTTTTGGAAAAACAAAACAAACAAATTAATAAATAATGGCTGGTCCTATAACTTCCAGAGAGACTAAGAGTGTGAAACAAAGGGAATTGAATGGAGATATGAAAAGATAAGTTGAGAAATAAGCTTTTATTTTTTTTAAGGAGGTGGTTTACAATGTTATGACTTTTGAACATTCATTAGAAAACTATCCACGAGAGATGCAAAAAATGGTAGTGTAACCCAAATCAGAATCTGAAATTAAATTACTTTTAGCAGTTTAAAATCTAATCATTAAAGAAATTTATCAATAATTTTGACTACATTATAGTCCATTTGTATATTTGTCAATGAAATGATGATTCCTTACACAATATAAGGATTCCGGAAATACAAACTGTTTTTAGTAAGGCCACTGCTATTGATACACTGAACTCTATATCTGATAATTCATTGAATTCACCTACCACATAGTAGCTTCTTACTTTGTGCCAGGTACTGTAGCAGGCCCTTTCTATGCTATGCCTTGTTTAATCCTCACGACAAATATGAGAGGAAATGGAGGGCCAGTGACTTGTGCAAGGTCATAGCCATATTAAGTGGCAGGAAAGATATGACCCGAAGTTGCCTGTTTCCAAGTCTAGCCTTTAACTTCTCTTATATCCACTACAGAGCAGGCATTGCTCTAGGCCCAGAGAGAAAAATAAGGCCTGGCTCCTTCCTTCAAGATGTTTAGTCTTTCTAAGGCTAGTTGAAAAATGGGCTTAGACCATCCATTTATTTTAGAGAGAAACACCCTGACTCTGTCCCTTCTTGGATTGCTTTCACATACCATTTATTAAGTTTTTATTTGGGTTCCCTTTCAGTATGAGACACCTGTACTTCAGGGCCCAAAATCACTGACACAAAACCTTTGCTCCATCCTAAGGACAGAGAGGATGCATTGAAGGGTTTTAAATAGGACAGTGACATGAGCATGACTTTGCTTTTGGAAATTGCTTGGGCTGCAGTGTGAAATTGATTTAAGGAGCAGCAGGGTAGGAGTGACGAGCCAGCTCTGCACCCCATGGGAAACCTTCTGGCATCTCTCCTTTCCTGGGGCATCTCCTTGATCTCTCCTCACATGAGAAAAACATGCTTTGTTTTTCTCTTTTAAAGGTTTCACAGTTTACTAAGGGCATGCTTTCACCTACATTGCCTCCTTTGATCCGCACGACAACCTCCTGAGAAATAATAAATACTATCAGCCTATTTTATAACTGAGAACAAAGAGGCTCAGAAAACCGTAAGCATCTACCTCTGATTCACTTTGTTTGTAGGTGAGACAAAGCAAGATCAGGTATACAGGATTCTGCCTTACATTTTCCTCCATGGGATATTTGGATATAGACAAAAAATTTGTCATGCAAGAACTTTCTTTTACATTCCCTGAAATACAGTTGCTTATATATAGCCATCTGTTGGAAGCAAGAACAGCTACATAATTAGTGGGACATAGTATGAAATGAAAATGTAGGATCTCTTGTTCAAAAATCGTTTAAGAATTTCACGAGGTGACAGCAAAGCATTAAACCAAGCGTGGGTCTTTCTGATTATACAGGTCCTGCTCTCATGAAGTGAAGCCTGATAGGAAGGGCCATTCATGCTCCACAGAATTGGTGCTCTATAGGGATAATGGCAAAAGCAAGGTTTTCCAAAGCGGATGGCAGAGTGCTCACATTCTCTGCGAGTTCATCTTAATGATGTAACAGGACAGAATCTAGAACCTGTAACCAGTTTTCCTGCTATTTTCACTGACTCAGAATTAACCAAATATTGACTGGGACTGAGCTGATGTCTATCTTTATTGTAAAAAAAACATTTGGTGGGTGAACTTATGTAAACAAAAGGGCAATTAAGCCTACTTTTTCTGTAGTTATGTTAGTATGAGATGTCTTAAAGGAAATAAAATAGTCTTTAAACTAGAACAAAGCTTTTTTTTTAGACTCGTAAATTAAAAATTTGGCATAATTTGAGTGGTAATAAGGCTGAAGTTTCTTGTACATGAGGAGTTGGCAAGTTTTGTATGTAAAGAGCCAGATGGTATTATTTTAGGCACTGTGGCTCTCTGTAGCAACTCCTCAAATGCCATTATTTCACAGAAGCAGCCATAGGCAACACATACACAAATGGGTATGGCCAGACTTCATTTGCGGACACCGATATTTGAATTACATATGATTTTCATGTGTCACATGATATTCTTCTTTTTTCCCTCAATCATTTAAAAAATGTAAAAGCCATTCTTAGCTTGTGGATTGTACATTTTTTGGTGGCAGGTTGGATTTGGTCTGGGGCCATAGCTTGTTGACCGTTGGTCTATACCATCAATGAAAAAGTTGCTAAACAAATCAGTTGGTTATGAAATGTTATAACCAACATTTGGGAAAATAAAGTATTGCTAAGAATTTTTAAATGTGATTTCGAAGGTACCTTTTTGTTCCTTTGCAGATTAGTTTGAATTGTTGAATCTTTGTGAACATTGCAAAAATTTAATTTTTTTTACTTATTCAGTAGAAGAATGAGGATAATAATAACAGGACTTACCTCTTAGTTTGATGCGAGGATCAAATGAAGGAATCCATGTAAAAAACTTATTATAGAGTCTTTACTCAAATTTTAACTGCTGTTATTAATAATGGCAATAATAAATTAGATTGCCCCTTCCCAGTAAACTTCTCTCATTGAGGTCAAATGATATATTTTTTTATCTATTTCCTAGAGCTCAGATCTACCACAAATAGAAAAAGAGAGAGCAAGCAAGTGAGCTAAGCTTAATAGCTCTACTGATTAAAGAAGCTGAAACCTCAGCTCTGGGGGATGGGAGTCCAGTGGATACAGAGGGGTGGGTAGGAGGTTGGGGAGCTTAATGCAGGTGTCAGACTTAACCCAAAGCCCAAGGGAAATTACATGCCACACATTATGTAGTTTATAGTGTTCACTTCTCCTTTGACACCCACACCCACAGGTTCATTCTCTGCCAGATATTTTTCTTATTTGAGTTTTGGTTTAGAGAATGACAAACATCTGCGACACCAGATTCTTAAAGACAAAGTGAAAATCCTTTGTATACCCATCAACACTTGACAAAAGGGGGCCAAGGACTCCCAATAGTGGAATATGGTACTTGAGCACTTACAGCACATCTACTTGGAGAGACCACTTGTAAAAGTCCCATCTCACTATTCAACCAATGGGATGCCGATACAGTGGCTCTTCACTGCCAATTATCCAAAGAGAGCTCTGCAGTATCTCATCACAGAGATGGGATGCCGACACAGTGGCTCTTCACTGGGACGGAGATGGGGGATGGGGGTGGGGAGACTTTATAGGGTGAACATAATTAGGCCATTTTAAAGGATGAATGCCAAGGGGGTTGAAGGGTGGGAGGGTCATTCCAGGAAGAGGGGAAGCTGAAGAGAAAATGGCACGAAATGGTACTGTATACTTGGGAAGTTCTAAATAGTGCACTCTGAGGGTGTTAACATATAACACTGATAACAGTTCTCAGAAGCCTATTGGCTAAGAGGACTCCACACACCTCTGAAAGGCTCTGAGGAAACAGTAGGAGGGTCACTAGCATTGGAATTCTTGACCTTTGTTGGCCAATATACTACCTAGCCCTGGTGCCCCTCTCCCCTGGGTGACCGATTTCTCCAGAGTCCTACAGCTGTACTGCCAACCAAATAGGTGAGAAAGGAATAGTGTTGAGCACAGAAAAAGGAACCCTACACAATGTTACTGAAAGATGTTTTTAAAACAAACTATCTGGACAGGAAGGAAATTGGGGTGGGAAAAGGGAGATATATATATCTTGCACCTGAAGTGTCTGACTAACTTTTGGCATATCGCTTTACTCAAAAAAAGACACTGTTACAGAAAGGTTTTCGGTTTTTTAAAAAATGAAACCGAGAAAATTGAGAAAGGAAATCCACATCTCCTAACCCTGCGATGGGCCAGAAACCAAGCTCAGCACTTTCACATATGTTAGCCCAGTTCGCCCTCAGAGCAGGCCGGCAAAATGGGTACTCTTTGGTCCCATCTTATAGAAGAGGACACTGAGGCTCAGAGAGTGCTAGTGACTTGTCCATGGTCACGTAGAAATAATATGGATGATTGAAGTCTTGTGACAGTTTAGGAGGTAGATTTTTCTTTACATTTCTGTCATTAGCAGTACTTCAGTTTTAAAAATTACAAATTATTGTTTATAATTTGAACGTTGGAGCCTACATTTCTTTTCTCACATAATGTCTAGCTCAGTGTTGAGGATGAAGTAGGTGCTCAGTAAATTCTTATTGATAAATTGGTTGATAAATCAGGCTTTCTAATCAGCATCTATTTTTTCATTCTACAACTTGGTTCTCTTTGTAACATCTGTTACTCTATAACTAACATATACTCCTATTTTCTAAGGCTCTGTGGACCAAAAAAGGGGTTCAATGGAAAGTAACCTCACAGAATGATCTGATCATAAATTCCTAACTGGGCTGGTCATGGTGGGTAGTCACACCTCAAGCTTATAACTTCTTTGGTGAAAGAAGTTATAAGCCAGCCCTTCCCATTGTTCTTGTGCATCCAGGTTAACATGACTTTGAAATGCCAGATGTAAGACCCCTGGAAGCGGATATTAACCTTCAAGAGAACACATAATCTTGTTGACTATCCTGTAATCCAATCCCCGCCTTACTTTCTCCCACCTCCATGTATGTTCACTCCTTAATTTCAAATGCATAAAAGAAGCTGCAAAATTGTTATTCTTGGGAACATTTGAGATCTCGCTCCCCAGCATATGTCATCATTTTGGCTCACATAAACTCTTATAAAGATTCTCTACATATTTAGACATTTCTTATGTTGACAGCTCTCTTTTCCCTAGCGTACTGCTTCTCAACCAGGGGTGATTTTGCCCACCCCACCACCACCCCCAAGGGAACATTTGGCAATGTCTGGAGACATTTTGGGTTGTCACAACTGGGATTATCGTCTAGTAGGTAGAGGCCGGAAATGTTGTTCAAGATCCCATAAGGCACAGGACAGACCCTGACACAAAGACTTATTTGGCCTCATGTGTTACTGCTGTGATTATTAAGAAACACTGGTGTAAAAGGCAGCAACATTTGAAAAGTGGCTGGCTGAATTGTTCAGCCCATTTCTCTTGTGGAAAAATCTAGACAGCTTTCTTACCTAAATGCATTTCATACAGCCTGTCTGTTGGGGCAGAAAGCACTGTGCCAGGGCTCACAGACCAAATCTGGCTCACAGCTGCATTTTGTTTGGCCAGGAGAGTGCTCAAATTAAAAAAAAAAAAAAAAGTGTTGCTAACGCTTAACTGGCACAGTAGGGCAGCAGCCTCCAGAATGGAAACCAACACTTGAATGAATGCCCGCCATGAAAGACAGTGACGGTCCCCTGGAATAGATGCCAGCCCTGCCACTGGCACCACCGGCTGTCGGTAGTTGGGGAGTAGCTGTCACCTGTTGAGAGAATGGGTGCCCCCTCTCCTTCCTTTTGTTTCCTCACTACTGAGGCCTGATCAGTTGCCACTTATCACCTCACACTTACTCTAGTGTGTTCCTTATGCAGATTTAATGAAATAATGAAATCTGCCTTCACATTGTCTTCATCTAAAGTGGGAAAATACTTTAACTACAAGATGTGGAAGAAGACACATGCGAAAGGTCATAAGGGTCATAAGGTATCATGCAAACTCTTCCTAGGAATGTTTGAGAGTGCCTGGTTACGTACATCACTGCCAACATTAGGCATTACGCTATTTAAAAATCTTTGTTAACTGGATCAATTAAAAATAATATCTCGTTATTTAAAAAAAGTGAGAAAATTAAGGAAAAGACTGCCTGTTCAAGAAAAAAAGAAATGTTTACTCATCTAGTTCACTCATTAAATTCTATACTTAGTCCCTATAATCTTTGAATCTGTGGCCATTTTTTTCTTTTTTTGGCTTAAACAAGCACTATTCCTAAACGCAGAAATTCCTCAGAAGAACTAAAGCTGGTGGAAACTTGTCTTCTGCGAGCCTCTTTGCCTTCCTTTTGCCGCAGAGCTAAGTCAGCTGTGTGGGGAACTGGTGCTGAGGAATGGGTGAATTTGGTTGGTGAGACTCAAAGCAGCTACTGCCACACTTGAGGCCATGGTTTGAGAGGGGCTCCCTTTGCTTCTTCCTGAAGGCAAGTGGAGGGAGGTGGTCCTTCTAGCTCTATCTGGGCACTCGTTTCCAGTCCACACCTCTGGAAGCACATGGTACTTGAAAGGCAGAAATTCAGCACTTGGGTGGAGTTGGATCAAACAGAGTCCAGTCTGAAGGCATTGGGAAGGTAGGGATAGGGGGCATCAGGAGATAGGAAAGTAGCAGAAAGAGAGGTTGAGGGTGCCAAGGAGACTCCTGCGGGCAGTTCTGACTAAGGTCTGGCAGCAGTAGCTATTGTGTGCCACAGGCAAATGCTGGAGGTTTTGATGCCTTCCCTTAGGCAGTTATTCACACAGGCAGTGGTTTGGGTGGAATCAAGCTCTGGACTAAAGCATAAATGCTTATGCCTATATCCTCTGTCATTTTGCTGAAGTCACTTTTTAAAAATTCCCGACACCTCTATAATTTAACTTCAGTTGTTCAGGGATAGAGCACTTATTCTGCCCTGAATGTCCTTCTGGTGAGAGGGATTATCTTTTCCATTTGGTACTGAAAGGAAATCACGGACTTCTTAAGTGCATCTCTAACCTAAGGAGAAAAGTACACCAGGAGGATAAAGCCTTTGAGACCAAGCTAACAACAACAATAATAATAATAACACTCCCCCCCTGCCCTGCCAACATTATTGAACATTGGGCGAGATGGCTCACATATAGCATTTCTAACCCTCCCAAGGGTCCTACTAGGTAGGTGTAATTATTTTCATTTTATAGATGAGGAAACAGGCCCCACCATGCCAAGACCATGCAGCTAGTAAGTGTTATGGTTTGTCTGACCCCAAAGTCTCTGTTCATTCCTCTCCAAGATCTGCTAGCCAAGACCCCTCTAACTTCAGGGGTCACATTAGACAGATAAGAAGGAGGCCAGCACGGAGTCCCAGCTGCAAGCGTCCTCTTGGCACCTCCTCCTTGGCTCTAACTCAGCCTTTTTGAAAGGCATTTTAGAGCACGACTGGGACAAACAGCATTGTCTCCCCAGACATTTGCCCATTTCGGTCTTTGCAATCATATCTACTGGTTATTGAACAACTACTTTTCATGTGTTGAATAATGCTCTTTAGAGAGGTGATCTCTAATTCCTTTCCCCCATTTTTCAAATGATAAAATAAAGCTCAGACAGGTTAAGTTGCTTGCCTGATGTCACAAGGAGAACAAATGACAGAATCAGATTTGCAGCTGGGACTCTGACTTCATGTTCATGCTCTTTGCACTGTACTCTGTCATTCACCCCGTTCCAAGATACGGTCTGGAAAACCCAGTGCCTGGTTAGTCCCTGAATTTTGCCTGCTATGGTTGGAAAGAACCCATTCTGACGTTTGGTTTTGATCTTAAAACAACTCTGTTTCTCTGGTGCCCACTGGGAATTTCTATGGGTCTGTTCATCTGTACAACTTCCTCTTTGGGGTGGTTTGCAAAGGGCATCTGTGGCCAGGCTCCCTAAGGCCAAGTCACCCCTAGTAGGCATCAAAGGCCTTCTGAGGCTTCACAGAGGCTGAAGGGGAAAGAAGGCAAACATAGGATGTTGACACTTCCTTTTCTTTCCATCTCCACGCCCCTCATTCTTATCAGAGAATATCTCAAAAGGCTCTGAGATCTATTTCCCCTAGAACTTAAAGTGAAGTGTGAGATTGCACCATTGGGCCCCAAGATGAGAAGGAGAGAAAGTGATACTAGAGCCAGTTATTGTAAAGGAGGTCAGCCCTCACCTTGGTGAAAGTAAGATTCACAAATCCGCCCTGGAAATTCAAGAGAAGGTTGGATACTTGAGAGCCACAGTTCCCAGAGGCTTGGGTTGCATTGGGGTCGATGTTGAAGTAGCTCTGACGTGAAAAAACCTAAACCAAATAAAATAGATTGGCTCCATGAGATATAGAAGAAAACTCTAGGTAGGCAACCAGAAGCACAGACTAGTAAGTAAGCCTGAAACTCAAAGCTAGTGGGTGTTCATCCAAGAATTTCAAAGTCCCTGGATGACACCTCATGTTCCAAACCATTATTTTCAAAAGATTTTTTAAAGAAGGAGTTCTCCTACAAAAAAAGGAGTTTTTTGGTAGATAATTCAGGGTAGGTATACTCCTGATAAGCTGTGTGGAATTTATTTTTTGTTAAATTACACATGTTGAAAGGCACTGTAGGAAAGATTTGCTATCTAATGTACTTCTGTTTCGATTGTGGAAGTTTTATTTGATATCATAAAAATTATTCAAAAAAAGTATTATTTTAATGGTGATTCCTTTAGTAAATCAAATCATTTTAACCCCACTCCATCCCCTCCAATCTTTTTGTTAATCTGGATTTTCCATATTAGTGTCACAGCTGGCTAGAACCATGGAGACTATCTAATCTAAACCTCTCGTTTTTCTAGAAAGTTGCTGAGGCTTAAAAGTCATCTGGCAGGGTAGGTCCAGGCCAGGTTCAACACTGAACACATCCCAGCACTGCCAGTGTTAGCAAAAATGAGTTGTGTGATATTTAAATTTTTGATGTGTGCTTTCCTCTCTCTAAGCAGGCACTGTCAGTTTCTATTTTTATATATATTCTAAAACAGATTCACTTTTTAATGGAGCATGTTGCAGAAAGAGGAGCTCACACCTATTTACTCATTGAAAGACATGGAATGCAAGAGAATGCTCATTCTTAGCAAGGCAAACTCCACTCAAACTTTTTGAGGATAGTGTTACAGTCCTATCCCCCAACTTACCGACACCATGTATTGAACTGTCAGCTCTATCCCCATCTCTGCTTTGATACAGAGCCTGCTTCCATTTAGAACTTGATAAATTCCAGTCTTGGCTGGTGATGGCTGAGGTGCAAGGGTGGGCGCAGGAGCTATGGTGGCAGGTGAGGCTGTTTGGGTGGCATTGTGTGCATTCGTGGTTGTTCCTGGAGCATGGGTGGGTTGAGTGGGCTTTTGAGTAGTTGTGCTGTTGTGTGATGAGGTGGACAAAGTTGCTGGAAGGGTGGTCTGCTTACTGGGTTGGGTGGCCTTCCCAGTTGTGTGGCTGATAGTCGATGGGCTGGTTCCAGTTGTGTGGGCTGATGGGCCGATGGTGGCTGGCGGAGAACTGGGAGCTGCACTGGGGCCGATTGTAGTCTCAGTGGCTGGAGCACCCGTGTGAGAGTTGTTGGGTGTGGCCAGGGTTGTGATTAGGGTGCGGATTATAGGGCTGGTGGATGGAGTGCCATTTGTTGTTACCAGGGAGGTTGTTAGAGTTTTTATTGTTGTGTGTGTAGTTGGGGTCTCAGAGTTAGAGGTTGTGGCAGCTATTTGAGAGGTGATGTGACCATTCGTTGATCTCGTTGCTATAGTCGTGTGAGGCACTTGGTTAGTTGATTGCAGGAAAGGTTTTGCTGTGGCCTGTACTGTTGCTCCTCTCGTAGGCTGAGAAGAATCTGTGATTTCTGGAAACCTTTTTGCTCTTATTTGACTGCCATTATGCAAAACCACTGCAAATTAGGAAACAAAAGTGTTAACACATCGATAGCTCAGAAGGCCCCTCCCCCACTCCCATTTTAGTTACTTCATTAAAAATTAACATGAGTATTTCCAGATTTGGGGAAAACTTACAAGGATATAACAATCAAGTGAAGATTACCCCTAAGATGTTACCGCAAAGCCACAGTTGTAATGTTTTGGTTGTACTCATGTTTTTTACAGGGTTGCGATCATACTGCAGACATTCTTCTGCATCCAGCCCCTTTGTCTGTATGGGGTGTGGCACTAACACACCACGTGGTCATGCTCGGAGAGAGAGCTAAGAGTCAATGTCTGTTCATTTCCGATCTTCAAACGTGAATCCAGACAGTTCCTGGGCAAAGTGCTGCTGTCCTGCCCTGATAGAGCTGGGGCAGCGTGAACAATGCTACTAAAGATTTACACAGAGTTGTATAGTTTGCATAGAATCATATGATCCCAGATTCAAAAGGAGTCATCTAGTTCAAACCCTAATCTGATATGTGAATTGGTCCTTTGAGTATTTGCCATGTGTTCATCTACTCTTATGCTTACTTACCTCTGATGATGGAAGATTCAGTACCCTTTAATTTTTTATCTTGCCACCAGTTTTTCTAAATGTAGACCAGGTCCTGTCATTTACTTAACCTTTTGAGTGGCCCTGCTTTTCTCAACTAAGAAAGAAAATTAAACCGTGATTGCTCTGATACAGTTGGTGGGCTGTCCTTCATCTTTTGGCTCATATGTCAGCTCCTCAGAGTCCTTCCTGTCTTCCTTATATAAACTAGCTCCCCACTCCCACAATTCTCCACAGCAAAGTTATATCTGTTGCCTTCGTCGCACTAGTCACAACTCGTAATTGTATAAGGGGACAGTATTCAAACATTTAACAATAATCCTGGCCAGACAGTGTGTCCCAGCAGAATATCAGCTCTGATTAAATGTTTATTGGTTTATTTGTTGACTGTACATCTCTTCCACTAGACTAAGGTAATCTTGAGGTAGAAACTGTGTGTTTTTTTTGTTTTTGTTTTTGTTTTTGTTTTTTTTTTTATCAGTGTCTGTGCATAGAAAGGTTCTAAAGAGTTGGTTTAAGTGAAAGCTGTCATGGACTGTTAGGCAGTGTATATTATTGTCACAGGTTCTCTCTTGGGCCATCCCTTAAGAGTGGGAGGCCTCTGGCTCTTTTTCAACTAAAATAGTACTATCCTGTCTTCTTCCAGGCACCTAGCAAGCCAGAAAAGCGGACAAAGTGCAGACGATGTTCCTTGGGAGTTTATAATCAGATAGTGAGAGGTGGCTTTGTTTCTTCAATGCTGTGGTTTCATTGTATTTACCCACTATATTTACACTCATTGGAGCTATAGCTGCTTGATGCTGGGCAGTGACTTGGGAAAACACAGGGAAAAGACAGAGGAGATCCCTCTATGATGGTGTTTATAGAGTACCGAAGTTCACATCTAATCGAAATCAAAATCATCCATAAACTCCTTTACTACCTCCCTCCTTCACTCAATATGTTTCTAAGTGCTTATTTTTCCTATAACAAAAACAATAAAAAACTCCAAATTACTAAGCACTTACTATATGGCAGGCCTCAGGTCAAATGTTTCACCAACTCCTCTCAAAACCCTCTGTTGGGTACTATCTTTATCCCTTTCAGATGAGGAAACTCAAGTTTAGAAGAGTCTATCAACTTGACGATAATCACAGAACCAGTAAATTTTGGAGCTGAGACTCAAACCCCTGTCTGAACCAAAGCCTACCTTTGGATTTGGGGATGGGTGGAGGTGGTGGTGCCACTGAGAACAATGCTGAGAGAAGAGACAAAAGCAGAGGAGAGCGGAATAGTAGGGTATGACCCCAATTCACAAAACCCTCATAATGGTTGTCTTCAGTGAAGCTTTCAAAGACTCACGTGCTTAAATAGTGATTATTGTCCAGAAGAAAAGTTCTAACTTTAAGCCTAATAGTAACACTTACAAATTATTTCTGCACAGCTGGCTTGCAAATTAGAATGGACAAAAGTATCAGTTCAAATTTCTTTGAATACTTTTTAAAAAGACATATTAATGGCATTAAGTTAACAGAGACTACTATTAAAGAGTCTTATTTGTACCTAAATGTTCATTTGGATAACCGAAATGTATGGTATTCAAGAGTTGTGGATTTTATGGGCTATAGGTTTACTTCGTAAGTCGTCGTAAAATCACTAGACAGAACCTTTATGCCCACACTGTAGAACTTGGAGCAAGACTTTCCTTTCAAGATTGTTATGAAGGTTGACAGTTGTTGAAGATTTATTTTTGTAATTCATTTGAGCTAAACCCGAGTTGCTGGTCCCTCAGTCAAGAACCACAGAGGAACCCCATTAAGTTCATACTATTAAAAAAAAAATTCATTCCCAAACATGGTTTCCAGGAATACCTTGTAGTGAAAAAGCAAAGACTGATGTAGAGAATTCTGGGAGACTAGAAACCACTTGCCTTTTTTTCTCTTGGGGAAATCATTGGATTCTTGATAAAATCCCACTGTGTATGGCTTATGCTTATGAGCTAAAGTAGCACACCCTTTCAAAGGAGGGGCCTTCCTCATAATGCCATTAGAATTCCTTTCTCAGGAGTAATGAATAAACTCAAATGAGGGAGAAAAAGCACATTGATCATTCATGAATGCATAGCATCCCAAACAGGACAAGAAAACTCATGGTAACCGTCAAGGTGTGCCTGGTGTGTAGGAAGATATGTAGGATAGTTGGAGGTGATGACAGTCATGGTGTCTTGATATGGTGTATGACTTTGTGATGGACAAAATGCTGGACTGGCAAGTGGCTGGACCAAAAGTGACCAAAAGTGTCAGAGCGTATTACAAATTGAACCAGTCTGGAAAATATTGTTCTAATATCCTTCTCTTTCCCCTCTCTGCCCACCCTCTTCCATCCTCTCCCCATCTTCCTGTAGGAATGTGGGGTGTAAAAGATGGGCAGATGATTAGATGGAAAACTGACAGAGGTGGACACGCTATACATTGTAATATGTCCTAGAAAGTTCATGCTTCTTAGGTACTCAATGGAAATACTCTGAGAAATACTGTTTTACAAAATATATGTATATGACCACAAATATGTGACCAATCTTTGTCAAAACTGGGTCACAGTTTTTAAATGAGACCTATGGTCCCATAGAGGTCAAGTTCACTGGTCTGTCTGAGACACAAAGAGGGCAGTGGGCAGAAGCAAGGTCAGGGCATAGCTCAGAATCTGTCTCAACTCTCCCTCTACTCGAAAACAAAACAAAACAAAACAAAAAGACAAAGCAAACAAACAAACAAAAAAACCAAACAACAGCCCTGGAGTCTACATACTGATGTGCCAAGCCAGCTACCTCTCCAGCATCTCCTTTCCAGTATTCAGGAGACTCAGCAAACAAGTGGCCCAGGGCCTTGACTCACTGCTTGGACTTCTCTGTAGGAAGAGGCATAAGAAGGTTTTGGTTCCCCACAACCTGCAAGAAGGGCTGAGAGATGACTCATTGGACAGGCCCTGGGAAAGTCAGTGACCACACAAGGGCCTCTTCTCTACGTATTTCCTGGACAGTTGGGCCTTCCCAGATAGGCTTTGTTTGGTTTCCCTCCCATATCGAATTCCACAGGAATGTAGAAGTCTCTTGTGAACTAAGCTCCATGCCAGGCACTGGGGGTAGGTCTTTGTTCTCAGGGGTTTAGAACTTCATGAGGCAGACACATGAATGGACCACACTCCTCAGCGTGAAAAGTGTTATTACTTAAGTAGGCTCTGAGCACTATAGGATGGGGTGTGGAATTCAACATAAGGAGAAATTCTTCAGGCAGACAAGAAAGTAAGTGGTATCCCAGGCAGGAGGAAGCATATGTACAAAGGCCTGGAGTATTTAGAGCCTTGTATGTCTGGAGTCAGCATCATGGGAAAACAAAGAGAGTGTGGGGGAGGGGGGA